AAAATAAGTACTGGATAACTTGACATTATTGGCATTCACAGAGAGCCTCACAGGCACTGGGACATTGATCTATGTTTAGTTTGGTTTCCGAAGGTATGGAAAGAGATGAGCTCTCAGATGGACTCCAAAGAGGACATTTGTTTGCTGGCACTGAACCAGGTCAAACTGGATTCTGATCCCAGGTGTAAAATACTTGAAAGTTGAAAGTAGGTCAGCAGGGTCAGGGAGCGCAGGGCACGTCTTGTCACCACAACGCGAACCTTCTAGACTCATCCCAAGGCACAGAAGGAAAGGGGAGCTTGGGAAAGGAAATCTGGGATTCCTGGAAGGCCAGACAAGAGCACGTGCTGAGGCCTGGCGGCCCGGGGACTCAAATTTTAGGCTATGAGTCTGCACACTGTGACCAGCTGCGTGATTTTTGCAAATGAAGACCCATCTCTGCTCGTTCGCTTCTGTGGCTGCGACAGAAAGCACACAGCCGCACTGCGAAAAACACTGGCCATCTGGCCTTTCCAGAAAAAGTTAGCCGACACTGATCCAGGCTTTCCAAGATTTGAAACCACAGATTGATCCTATCTTCCTTAGGATACAACCGTGACACATGCGTATCCAGGTTCAGAGTTCATTCTGTAGAGAAAGCACGCATGGGCGGGTTTGGCCGAGCCACCCACTGCAGCCACGCGCGGGCTTTTTTTCCTGCTAACACACCAGCAGTGCTGGAGGTGTGTGTTTCTCCCGAGCCAGCATTTGCTGTCTGCCCCATTTTTCTGACTTTACCAACATTTACAAGACTCCCCCACACCCACCTTGACGTGATCTTGCTTTTTTTGTTTTCCTAGTTTTTGGCTGCTCCGCGTGGCCTATGAGATCTTGGTTCCCTGATCAGGGATCTAACCAGAGTCCCCTACAATGGAAGTGTTGCGTCTTAACCACTGGACCGCCAGGGAAGTCCCTATCTTGCTTTTTTTTTTTCTTAATTGTTTGTTTATTTTTGGCTGTGCTGGGTCTTCGTTGCTGTGCAGGCTTTTTCTCTAGTTGCAGCAAGGTGGGGCTACTCTCTGGTTGCTGTGAGCGGGCTTCTCATTGCGGTGGCTTCTCTTGTTATTGAGCCCGGGCTCTAGGGCACTCGGGCTTCCATAGCCGTAGCTCCCAGGCTCGGAGCACAGGCTCAGTAGTTGTGGCGCACCGGCTTAGCTGCTTGGTGGCTTGTGGGATCTTCTGGGACCAGGGATTGAACAGGTGTCTCCTGCATTGGGAGGTGGATTTGTTATGACTAAGCCACTAGGAAAGCCCCCATCTTGCTTTTTGACCAGAAAAAACTTTAAGTGAAAACCTGTACATCACTCTTGGGTCTGGAAAGCAGTATCGTTTGCTGTAAATACTGTAGGTCACAGAAGAGCAGCAGTTCCCATCCTTTCCAGCACCAGGGACCAGTTTTGGAGCGAGGGCTGGACCCAGAGGGATTGCTTTAAAGTGAAGCAGATCACGTCACTCCCTGGTTAACAACCTGTCAACGGTGTCTGATTGAAAACAGGATAAAACCCAACCTTCTCACTATAACCTCAAAATCCAGGACTGGGTCTTGTGTGCACCTGCTGCGCAGAGCCTAGCCCCCAACCCGGGAACATGCTTCCCCATCTCTGAATGACTGGCACCTTTCACAGCTCAGAAACCACCCCATCAGAGAGGCCTGTCTTTCTTTCTTCAGTTGCTCAGTCGTGTCTGACTCTTTGCCACCCCACGGACTGCAGGACGCCAGACTTCCCTGTCCTTCACTTGGACTTTGCTCAAACTCACGGCCATTGAGCCAGGGGTGCGATCCAGCCATCTCATCCTCTCTCACCCCCTTCTCCTCTTGCGCTCAGTCTTTCCCAGCATCAGGGTCTTTTCCAGTGAGTCAGCTCTTCACATCAGGTGGTCAAATATTAGAGCTTCAACTTCAGCATCAATCCTTCCAATGAGTATTCAGGGTTGACTTCCTTTAGGATTGACTGGTTTGAGTTCCTTGATGTCCAAGGGACTCTCAAGAGTCTTCTCTAGCACAGCAGTTTGAAAGGATCAGTTCTTTGGTGCTCAGCCTTCTTTATGGTCTGATTCTCACATGGTCTTGCTGACTCCCACTAATTCAAGTCATGGAATTTTATTTTCACTGAGGCCCTTCGCTGTTTCCCATTTCTTCATGGATACATCTGTCTCCCTGCCCCAGGATATAAGTTCCCTTTCACCTCTCTCATATTGTCGATGCAAAATATAATTTATGTGTTGAGTGTTGCTCAGTTCTTGAGATGTGGACACCTCTGGGGCTGGGACGTCAGGCTCGTTGGTTAAGAACCCACCTGCCAATGCAGGGCACACGGGGTCCATCCCTGGTCTGGGAAGACCCCACATGTTCGGGCAACTAAGCCCGAGTGCTGAAGCTACTGAGCCCTAGACCCCATGCTCTGCGACGAGAGAAGCCACCGCAATGAGAGGCACGTGCACCACAACTAGGGAAAGCCAGCACACAGCGACGAGGACCCAGCACAGAAAAATAATGCTCCGTAACAAGGAAGACTTCTTCCCATTTAGTGGGTGAGAAAGCCGAAGTGCCCCTTGATGCTATCTGCTCGCTGGTGTTCGTGAACATCCTGTGAGGCAAAGGCAGAGCTTTTTTGCACATGGGGACACTGAGACCCACGGAAGGTTAAGTAAGTCTCATCTTCCCTCCTTGTATCGAATACATGACCATCGGGCCTGCTTTTCTGCGGAATCACGAGCGCGGTGCGATGGGGTGATACTATGCTTGCGGAGAAACATAATCTCTACCATCATTTGGCTCCTGCAGAAAATGAGAAGTACAGCAAGCCACTGGCCTCTTATCGCAGCCACTAGGAACCATCTGCTTCTCATTCCTGTCTTTTCACAGAAGTCTCCAAGGAGTTCTTGCTTCCAAAGCCAGCTCAAGTGCGGAGATGCCTTGCAGACTCAGCAACTTACCCCGATAACCATGTGGCATTGACATGCCACTTCTTTCCAAAGGATGTCCCCAAGCAAACCTGGGACTCTTCGTTTCACAGAGTTGAAGAGATGTGGGAAAAAAGTTCTCCCGGATACAAACTCGGGGTACACACAGATGTATGCCAGTGTCCCCAGGACCCGCTCAGCGGCTCCAGGAGCACGGTCTTAGGTGGGGGGCGGGGAGGAGGTCAGGGATGTGCACCGTGTGGGTGGGGAACGGGGCATAGAGCTGTGTGAACTCACCCCCTGAGGGTCCCCAGTTGGAACTCAGGTGTTAGGATGCAGTGGCCTCCAGAGCTTCTTTCTCCTTCTCTGTCCGTGAGCACCAGCCCGGACGTGGCCCAAGGTCAGCTTTCTTTCTTAATTCATTTTTACTGGAGTCTAGTTGCTTTATTTCTCTTTGAGATGACCTTCCCTGGAGGCTCAGTGGTAAAGAATCAGCCTGCAAGGAGGGAGACGTGGGTCTGATCCCTGGGTCGGGAAGGTTGCCTGGAGAAGGGAATGGCAACCCACTCCCGTGTCCTTGCCTGGAGAATCCCATGGACAGAGGAGCCTTGTGGGCTGCAGTCCAGGTCTGGATTCGAAGTCTGCAAAGAGTTGGACACGACTTAGCGACTAAAGGACAGCTATGAGGAGAGGGCAACTGCAGCACCCAGCACGCTGCCGTGCAGAGTAGGTGCTCAGTACAGAAGTGGGAGCCAGTATGGGAAGCAGTGTTTGCAAATGGAGGGACTAATGAAAATCTGTAGCCTGGTAGTGCAGTCATCTCCACCTCCTACGCATCCCGCTGTGGAGGGGGAAAGCCGATCCTTATTCCAAAGCTACACCATCTCTACAGACTCTAACGTTCCTGCTTCTTCGTCCTCTCGCCAGCAAATTCCTGCCATAAGAACCCACAAGGAACACAACAGATGCCCAGTTTCATGAAAACATCATCAATCTTGTCAGCTCTGTCTGGATTTCCCATCCCCAAACAGTGCGTATTAAGTCAGTTCAGTCGTGTCTGACTCGCTGCAACCCAGTGGACTGTAGCCCACCAGGCTCCTCTGTCCATGGGATTCTCCAAGCAAGAGTACTGGAGTGGATTGCCATTTCCTCCTCCAGGGGATCTTCCCGACCCAGAGATCTCTTACATCTCCTACATTGTTCTTTACCACTAGTGCCACCAGGGAAGCCCTCCCAAAACAGGGATGGATCCATTTAATGAGATTTTAAGTGATGGCAAACATAAAGCTCTCTCCCCGCTCCTCCAGTTCCGTAGAAAACCAGCAGACGTGTATCTTGACACATTAAAATCTTCTTAATTATTCTACGCGGTGCAGGAAGAAACGAAACCCCATGCTGGGTACAAAATTGAAAAAGCAGTGCCAAGGGCAGAATGAGGGGGTCTTAGGCAGAGATTTGGGGATATTTTAGAATCCAGACTCAAAACAAAGTTGGAATTCTTCAGTCAAAATTCCTGAAAAATCGGATCCACCATTTGGAAGAGGAAAAAAAAGTACCATTCAAATTTAGAAAATAAAATCCACAGCAAGCTGAAAACTGTCATGGACTTCCCTGGTGGCACAGTGGATAGTAATCCACGTTCCAATGCAAGGGACTCGGGTTCGATCCCTGGTCCGGGAGGATCCCACATACCACGGAGCAGCTGAGCTCACGCACCACGACTATGGAGTCTTCGATCTAGAGCCCACGAGCCACAGCTCCTGAAGTCTGCGAGCCTAGAGACTGTGTTCCATAGCAAGAGAAGCCACCTCAATGAGAAGCAGCTAGAGAGCAGCCCCCACACACCACAGCTAGAGAAATCCTGTGCAAAGCAGCAAAGACCCAGCACAACCAAAAATAAAGTGAGAAATAAATAAAATTTTAAAAAAGAAAGAAAACCGTCACGTTTGCCCCTTGGAAGCTGTGTGGTCTTACGCCAGTGGCTTGAGCGCTCTGGGCTGCTGTTTGCTCATCTGTGGGGTGATGAGCAGAGATGACGATGAATGGAGAGCACTGGCTCAAGGCCGTGGCGCAGGGCCCGCATCGGGCGCGTCCTGCAAATGCCCAGCAGGCAGGACATGCTCGCTGGCTGGGGACAGAAGGGTTCCAGACCTGATGTCGAGCCTGGCAGATGCTATCGCCAGTAGAACTCGGGCTGCCTGCGAGGAAAAACTGTCGCTTCCACTGCCAGCAAAACCAAGATGCTCAGAGCCAGGAACTGTGGGATGAGGCCAGAGGACCCATGTGTTACTACAGAGGTAACAGATTCCCCTGCAAAGAAGCAACCCTAGGACTTCTCTGGTGGCCCAGGGGATAAGAATCCGCCTGCTAGTGCAGGGGACATGGGTTCAATCCCTGGGCCAGGAAGATCCCATGTGCCTCGGACTAACTAAGCCCGTGCACCATAGCTACTGAGCCTGCGCTCTAGAGTTTGTGCTCTGCAACAAGAGAAGCCACCAAAATGAAGAGTAGCTTCCACTCGCCACAACTAGAGAAAGCCTGTGAACAGCAGCAAAGACCCAGCACAGCCAAAAATTAATTAATTAATTAAAGAGTCCGTGATATTGGCTCAGTGGGATTATTCACATGGAAAGAAAAATTTATCATGATCTTACCTCAGTCAATACCTAAAAATCAACCCCAGGCAGACAATAGGGATAAATATGAAAAACTAAATGTGAAAGCTTCTTGAAAATAGAAGGGCAACATGAATGACTTTAAATTTCTGAACTAGCACCCAAAACCACAAAAAAAGAGGAGTATGAGCTATGTAAAAATTAAAATCCCAATAACCCAAAGTCGCCATTGAAAAGTAAATTCATGCCACAGAGTAGAAGAAGATCCGTGACACATAACTGGCAGAGGGATCTTTATCCAGAAAGATTAAGAAAACTCTTACAAATCTATAAGAAATAGAAAAATAGACAAATGCAAAGAAAAATGGACAGGCGATCTCAATAGGCACGTCATAAAACAAGAATTCCAGGTAGTCAACATACATAATATAGAAAAGGTGATGAATTCAGTAGTAGTGAAATGTTTTTAAAAAAATAAACAACCCCTGGAATGGCTGAAATATAACAGCAAGTTGAAGTGCTGGAGCTGGAGACGGTATGGAGGAAGGGAACCCCTCATACACACAGTTGGCAGAGTCTAAGTGGGGCAACCATTTTGTTCTAGAATGTTCATGACAACATTATACTAGTCTTGCTATGGGCTGAATTATGTTTCACGTGTCCAGTTTCTGGCCCTTCTTTCCTCTGTGACCTTGGCCAAGAAACCTAAAATTCTCTGATTCTGTTTCCACATCCACAAAGAAGGTCATTCCCACCTGGATTATTGAAAGTTTTAAGTGAGATACTCCAAATAGAACCCGGTGCCTGGCAGGTAGAAAGCATCTGATCACTCACTCTTATCTTCTAATTTGTGTGTGTGTGCATGCTCAGTCGCTCAGTTGTGTCTGACTCTTCTGTGATCCCATGAACTATAGCTTGCCAGGCTCCTCTGTCCATGGGATTTTCCAGGCAAGAATACTGGAGTGGGTTGCCATTTCCTTCCCCAAGGGATCATCCCAGACCAAGAATTGAACCTGAGTTTCCTACATTGGCAGGCAAATTCTTTACCACTGAGCCACCAGGGAAGCCCTAATAACCATCAATATGCTAGTTCAAAAGGCAGTATTGTTGCCATTTTACAGATGAGGAAACTGAGACCCAGAAGTCACAACCTCCAGGGAGCTCAGGAGGCCAGCAACACAGCTGCTTTCCAGACATAGGACTTTTTTCTCGACCCCAAAGGAATATCTAAGCAACAGACTCCAACCTAAGCCCATAGCAGGATGTCAAGGGGTTGCACAGGGTTGAATCTGATCAATTATTGCAAATGATCCAAGTTGTTGGCTGCCTCTGGAAGTGCTTTGAACTTTGAACCCACTCATTGCTAGCTTTATTCATCATTTTGGACTTTCAAACCTTGCTTTCCCGTTTGCCGTCGCAGCTGGTCTTCGCAAACTCTGTTGTGATCATCAAAGGATAAGACAAGATTATTCCCATTGATGGATGAGGCCAGAGAGAGCAGCGGCATCCATGTGGCTTAGTGTTAGCAGAGGTCCAGGTCTGTAAGCCTGGGTTTCTCTCTAGACTTGATGTTCTTACTATGAGTGCCTGAAGTCAAGCATCTATTCTAAGCCTGCATTTCCCACCTCTGAAACCTGATCAGTCTTTCCTCTTTAGGTTGTTATGAGCAATGAGATGAGCAGATACACATGAAACCCTCAGAACAGCCCTAGCACCAGCTGAATGCTCAGCAAATATGAGCTGCCAGTGTTTATGGGTCATTGCAATAGGATGGACAGAGCCTAGGCTGAAAGCCTACCCAGGGTCCTCTGAATGTTTCCTCTCGTCCCTGAAGCTCATCATTACCCTGGCAGCCCCGCCCTGGATCCCTCTGGGACCCTGATCCTAGGTTGTGACGTCCATGCTTTTCTGTGGGTGGCTCTTTCTGAGTCCCGTTTGCAGCCCTTGGGAGGACTGTGCACCTAGAGCTGGGGCAGAATGCCAGGCATGCAAATCCGCATGCAGGCAGTAATTTGCACAAATGCTCCCCAGTGTGCTCATTTCCAGCCTGTCCCCAGAACAGCGCTCGGCTTGCAAAGCCAGCAGAGAGCTATTTACAGCTCTGGGCGCAGAGAAGGGAGGCAGGCTCTGATCTCGCTCGGGAATGGCCCTGCTGAGGTGGTGGTGGCTTGCTCTTTTGGCTGCTTTAAGAGGCTGTTCAGCTAGTCTTGCCCTGAAGGAGCTTCGAGGTCCTGAAAACTTTTGCTGAAAGGCCAGGGATCCGCCCCCAGGATTGTCTTATTACCTCAGGGAACCCACACGCAAAGTCAGGGGACCTGTGTCCCTGGGCTCCCACTAATAGCTGCTGAGCCATCAGGGAAGGTTGGCCAGTAGCTGCTGGTAGATTCTAAACATCTAGAGAAAGGGATGCAGGAGGCCTGTCAAAACCATGGACAGCTCCAGCCGCTCTAGGTCAGGGATTGACAAACTGGTTGGGAGGTGGGAGACATCCAGCCCCCAAGCCTGTTTGTGTAAATAAAAGTTTTATTAGCACACAAACACATCCATTCATTTACATTTCACGGTACAGTTGAGTGGTTGTGACTATAACTCCATGGTCCACAAAGCCTCAAATATTTACTATCTATCCCTTAAAAAAAAAAAATCTGCTGAGCCCTACTCTATGTGAAGCCCCCACCGTCTCATCTTCTAACAAACAGGCTCCTCCTAGAGTCAGACAACTCTCCACGAAGCTTCCCGAAAAGTATTTCTCAAGTGCTAATCAAATCAGGTCACCTCCTTACTTAAAACCCTTCCAGGTTCCCCAGGGGTCTCTGAGTCAAGTCTAAACTCAGCATCAAGGGTCACCAGGCTGTTTATGATCTGGCCTTCTCATAGCTCCCCTCTTCTTAGCCATCCACCCTGGGGAGCCTATGCCAAACACCTCCTCCATCCTCTGAACATTGGTTTTGTATTAAAAAAGGCATCTCAGTGGAAAACTATGCATTGTTTACAAACCACACAAACTTTTAAGATATCTGATTCTAGCCTTGTTCATTACATTATCTTCAAGCTATTTTTTTTTTCAACTCTTTCTAAGTTGTAGAAATCTAACGTGTGTGTGCGTGCTCAGTCACTTAGTTATGTCCAACTCTTTGTGATACTATGGACTGTAGCCTGCCAGCCTTCTCCGTCCATGGGATTTTCCAGGCAAGAATATTGGAATGGGTTGCCATTTCCTCCTCCAGGGGAATCTTCCCAACCCAGGGATTGAATCCATGTCTCTTGCATTAGCAGGCGGATTCTTTACCAGTGAGTCACCTGGGAAGCCCAGGAATCTCATTGAGGAGCCAATTCTGTCTTGTCCAGTCATTTTCTTGCCTCCATTTGCAATGCATTTCACCATTCCTTTACTCTATAGACAACTGTGCTTTATTTGACTTTCCCTTTGAACCTCTTCCAACATCTGCTTGGTTCTTTCATTGAATGAGCTTTACAGAATCATTAAGTGTTTGTCTTTGTATCTGGAAGGGAGTCATGGTTTTATCACCCCCCTTTTATTTTTTCCTGAAGATTTTCTTTTAAAAGTTTTCCATGATGTCTGTGAGCCCCTGTTTGTGTCTTATCTGTTGAGAATATCTTTCCTGTCTTTTCTGCCTTTTCCTCCAGAAATTTCTTTCCAAGCATGCCCAGGTACAGAGACAGAGAACCTCTTCCTCCTCTGAGCTCCTCTATCTACTCCCACCTGCCTGATACTCTTCTCTCTGACTGGCTGTTTATGGGCCTGTTCCCTGACAGCTGGGCTTCCCAGGTGGCACCTGTGGGAAAGAACCTGCCTGCCAATGCAGGAGACAATAAGAGATTCTGGTTCGATCCCTGGGTGGGGAAGATCCCCTGGAGGAGGGCACTGCCACCCACTCCAGTATTCTTGCCTGGAGAATCCCACGGACAGAGGAGCTTGGCGGCCTATGGTCCATGGGGTCGCAAAGAGACACAACTGAACTGACTTAGCACACACGGCACATCCCGACAGCTAGCCTAGAAGATCCTCTGGTGTGGAAGCGGGGTATTTGTCCCTTCTTACCATGCGCGCGTGCACACACACACACACACACCCTACCATTAGTGTATAAGACAAGTGGGAGTTGTACAACAAACGGGCACATTCACTTAGGAATGAATGAACGCAGATCGCTAGAATGCCCACCTAGACAGGAGACTAAGAGGGAGACCCTGTTTTCCATGTTAATACCATACACAGGATGCCAGTGTCTGACATCTACAAAGTACTCAACAAACACTGGCTGTATAATGAAAAAAAAATACCATTTCAGGACTTCCCTGGTGGTCCAGTGGTTAAGAATCCATCTGCCAATGCAGGGGACCCGGGTTCCATCCATGGTCCAGGAAGACTCCACATGCCATGGGGCAACTAAGCCCGTGAGCCACAACTCCTGAGCCTGTGAGCCTAGTCTCAGAGCCACAGGTCCTGAGCCCACATGCGCCCTGGAGCCTCTGCCCCGCAACAAGAGAAGCCACCGCAATGAGACGCCCGCGCACTGCAACTAGAGCGAACCCGCACAGCAACGAAGACCCAGCACAGCCAAAAACAAATTAATTAACAAAAGA